ACCTTACGAGGAAAATATTACCACGCCTTTACGAGGAAAGCTTTCCTCGTAAATTCGCTACAACCTTACGAGGAAAATGTCTTTACGATGAACGTGTTTCGAGGAAACACGTTTCCTCGTAAGTTCCTAGTAAAAGGCCATTTACTAGGAACTAACGAGGAAAACCCGTCCTAGTAATGGACGAGTTTTCTTGTAGTGATTGTTTAACCTGAAAAAATATATGTATATAATATGTCCCCAAACAAAATGGCTTTGTTCTACAGAAAAAAAAAGGAAGCATGCTACATACAAACATACAACAGAAACCAAGTCAAAGATATACATCCACGAAGAGATGTTAAAAATGTGACTTGGTTTTGTTTTTATATTATATATATATCGTCCACCCATTATCTTGGTGAATCCCAAAAACTAGATTGATTTTTTTTTCTTTACCATTCTCTTCCTATGAAGACCCATCAGATTCGGTTTCTTTGACGAGTTCCGGTCTTTTCTCTTCATCATCATCTTTGCGAAAAGAACCGTTCCTCCTCCTGCTGCTACTAGGACTATTCGGATCATACTTGGAAGAAGCCAAGAAGTTGAGAGCCAACACTACGTCAGATACAACAGGTCTCATGCTTGGCTGCTCTTGTACGCACATCGCTGAGATTGCAAGTGCTTGGTACAATCCTCTCACAGGGTATTGTCCTTGAAGCAATGGATCAACCATTTTCGGGAAGTTCCTCCTGTCTTTAAACAACGGTCTTGCCTGTATAAGAAATTAACAAAAAAATGAATGTCTAGTGTTGTTGACTCAGCAAAGATCATTGAGAGAGGCAGAAGATGAGCATACCCATCCGACCAAGTTTTGATCTCTACGCGCTTTTGTATTATCAATAGCCTTCCTTCCAGTTATAAGCTCGAGGAGGACTACTCCAAAGCTGTAAATATCGGATTTAAACGTGAGCTGACCCGTCATAGCGTAATCAGGTGCACAGTATCCGTACGTTCCCATAACTCTTGTAGAGACATGAGTTTTATCCCCGCTTGGTCCAACTTTAGCCAACCCAAAGTCTGATAACTTTGGTTGATAGTCTTCACCAAGCAAGATATTTGAACATTTTAGATCACGGTAGATCACAGGAGGTTTCATTCTATCGTGTAGATACTCTAACCCTCTTGCTGCACCAGCTGCTATTTTCATCCGTGTGTTCCAATCAAGTGGCTTTTTACCAGAAGGAAGATCTGTAAAACAGTAAAAAAAAACAATATAGAGATATTCAAATAAGTAAACAAATCAATATGGAAAGTGAATAATAACAAACTTGAGTTTATTAACATTACCATGTAGATGGTCTTCAAGAGAACCTAGCGGCATGTACTCATAAACCAATAGTCTCTGATCACCTTCAGCGCAAAACCCAATAAGCTTCACTAGATTAGGATGGTCAGCAAGACTTAGTGTCAATACCTCAACCACAAACTCTCTGATTCCTTGAGCTCCGTTACGGTCAAGTTGCTTAATTGCAACAACCTAAGCCCAAAACGATTCCTAGTTCAAAAACTCTAACAATAACAGCCACGTGTTCAAGAAAAGAACAGTAAGTAGTAGTACCTGATCAAGTTTCTCTATAGTTCCCTTAAAAACTTTTCCAAAACCTCCTTCACCAAGAAAACAATCGGATCTAAAGTTCCCAGTGGCAGCTTTAAGTTCTTCGAATGTAAAAGTCTGAGCTTTCTTCCCTGTGGCTTGGTCGTTTAAATTCAAACCCTTGACATCAAGAGCTAACTGATCCTCCTTCTCCTTAACAACAACTCCTTCATTATTAACATCTCGATATGGACTGACTTTTGTAGAATCTACAAACACATGACAAAGATAATCAATTAATTCAGTTAATTATCATTTAAGTTAACCATAAATAGATACGAATATACAAATAAAAACCCAAACTTTGACATGTGTCTCCTTTTAGGACAAGACAAAACCTAACTCTATCACTTATATGGCAAAACAGTACACATGCATCAAAAAATTTCCAAGAGAATTATACCATGAAAATATCCATCCCCAATGTAACAGATATAACAGAGTAAAAACAAAAAAGATAACGTTGAGCAAACGATTAGATTAGAAAATCACTATGTACCTGAACAGGATTGAGTCTGATCATCTCTCTTATCGCTTGTACCACTCTTTGTATCATTGTATTTATCTTTGTTAGGCTCCGATCGTTTGCTCGATCTCTTACCACATCCGAAACAACCCATCAAAAAGGAATTCTCTTGTTCTTTTGTTTTGATCTTACCTCTTATACTCTTCCTCGTCGGAGAATCAGAAACACAGACCTAAAAAAACAACACGCGGAAATCGAAAAAAAGAGAGAAGAATGAAGAATTGCGAAAAGGAAGGAGAGAGAGAGGAAGAAAAAGAGAGAGCTTTAGTGACAAACAGAGAAAGCTTAATTCTTTGTCTTTTTGATTTATTTAATCGTGTAAGATAAACGTAAAAATTATCGTCTACGGCAAGGTGTATCGTACGTTAAAACATTCTTCTAATTATAATATGCCACGTCGACAAAAATGTTTCTCTTTTAAGCAACGTATCAGAAGGCGCCACGTAAGAGATTTAATATATTAGGCTTGGTCAACTTTGAGTTTGTCATCTTACGACCGGCTGATCGAAACAGGCACCGGCGATCTGACGTGGCGACTGGTTAATGGAGCTATGGATTTGGGTGATTGGTTTATGTCACTTCTTTTGATTTAATATTTTCGATAGTACTGTACTACTGGGACCAACTCGTGTGATACTGGTCATTCTATTCTATAGTGCTTTCAATCTAATTCATCCCACAGTGTCACAGTTTTTATGGTAAAAATCAAACTATTGGTTTTAATTTAACTTTATATAGATCATATACATATCGAATCTGACTGAATTAAACTATTTTTGTTTTTTTATAACATCAAACTATTTTTTGTTTAAATGTGTATTATTGACTAAAAAATAAAAATAAAAAAGTTGTGGAGTATTAATTTATTTATGGACGAGAAAAACCTTTTTGTAATGGCTGTCATCTATGGGCCTTACGGGTGACGTCGGTGTATGAACGGCGCCCAATTACTCACCGTTTGATTCAATTTTTTTAAAGAAGGATTAGAAACAAAATAACGTCATGCTAGGTCCCACGTTTTAACTCCACGCGCTTTGTTGTCCTAACTCTTTTTTTTTTTGTTTCCTCTGGTTGGTTCAAGTCTCACCAAAAAGGACTTTTTAAATTAATGGTACACAGGCAGGCATGCATGCAGAGGAGGTCTTTTTGTTTTAAATGGTTCCCAACAGTGTGATTAACTACGACGCGTTTCAGCTGCTTGGCTCTCTTACGAGGAACCATTAAGAAATTCAAAGGAAAACGCGACACGTGTATATGATATTAATGTTACTTTAGAGCAGTTTAATTTAATCTCATTTAATTAGGTTTTAGTTAGGCTACAACAATAACAACTCCCTCGGTAAAATATTGAAATACTGCTGACCTTCGAGGCCTTTAAGACATTAATGAGCCAGATCATCTTCCGCTGGCAAACACTTTGTTGAAAATTTTACCTTTTTTTCTATAAATTTTCTTTTTCTCAAAACATAAAAATATATAGACATTTTCTAACGTTAAAGCTTCTCTACATTTTCACCTATATCCAGCGAACGTTACGTAAAGCATACATTGTCATATTCTGCTACTCCACACAAACTATTGTTTATACGGAACCCGTGATCAAATTTCTTGGTCTTATTAGTTATACTAGATCCGTTTCCCGGGCTACGCCCGGGTTGTTTGGGTGTTTTTTTATTTATTTAAAAATACCTAAAATGTTTAAGACTTAAATTTTAAATAATATAGTTGAATGAGTATAACCTAAATTTTCAATGCAGCGTAATTAGTTAATGATTGTAACCTTTTTAAAATTACAATCCAATGATGAATTGTTTTGTGTGGGTG